CCAACTCAAACGTACCAGAATTGGGTGACCAATGTGATTATTTTTTTAAATCACAATCTAATATTAATATCATTTTATATAATTTGTGTTTTTAGCTGACTTCATGTTTTTTTTCGTCAATCCTTCAGGCTGTTTTTTCCGCTATTCCAAATTGGTATCGTACCATTCTCAGTTGGAGAGAGGAAACACCAAATTGAAATATTTGTTTTTTTGTTCAACAAATTGAAAAATATATTTCGACATACGTTCAATATTGCATAAGATAATAAACGTTGTGTGTGCGTGTCTTTCTAGGGTTGTCTCTGTCGTTCTTCCGTTGAGTTTCAATTTGAATTTTCCTTTGTATCAAGACAAAGTAAATGACAAAATCTTGTTCTAACCCGAAAGGTTGAAACTCAAAGCGTTGTTGTTCGAAAGTCAATCGCATGGCTTTGTTCGGTATTTCGAAGAACCTCACAATTTGACAATATTGTATACTAGTAAGCGAGAATCAAATAATACTTATTTTAACTCTAGGTACATTAATAACGGAAGATATTTTATTTGTTGATCTATTATTTGAAAGGCATGCAATATTATTTTAATTCTAATGACTTAGATATTTTTCTCCGAAAGCTACGGATTCTATTCTTATTGAAGTTATCGTTATCTTCTATCCCAGTGAATTTGCTTTGATTTCCAAAATTATACTCCATTTGAATATGTATGTATCTCTTCTATTAAAAAACAATTACGTCTTCAATTCGATTCATTCATTTAACATTTGTACGTGATTGTATAATGATTAATTGGTTGAAGTTTGGACATACGGAGTCAAATGGGCCCCACTCATTTGGAAGCTGCGAGTGACACGTTCGTGGACGTAATGGACTTGTACGGAGTCATGAAGCAATGAATAGTTGAATATACTATTCTTAAAAAATAAAAAAATTTACAATAAAAAACTTATTCCATAAAAATAAATTTTATTACGTTTTTTATGATTTTTATCATTTATTAATAAGAAAATATAGTTTTCGAAAAAAATATTCAAATAATATTTGTTGAAATTTTTTGAAAATCGTTTATTATAAAAATCTATAAATTTATTATTCAATATTAACTGTTTTTTTTTAAATATGCGCATAACCTTAAACATATATTTTTTTAGGAAATGAGGAAGTAGTATATATTATTATAAAGTATCGTTTTCAAAATGATATAAAAAAACATTATTCACACACGTAAACCATATTATATGGCATACTATACAATATTTCCAATCTCGTTG